CTCTGATAATATTAATTTAGTAATTTTTTTTAAATATTAATAATCTTTCACAAATGGTTATGAATATTCAACAAATTGTTTGGGTTGTATAAATTTTTTTATAACTTGTTAAATATAATATTTAAAAATATTAATTAGAAGATAAGTTTTTAAACATATCCTTAAAAAAATTTTCTAATCTACACCCAATCGAGCGACGAAGCAAACCTCTACGGCGGAGTGGCACCCCATATGCGGCGATCGGCAAAATGAGAGATTGAGAAGTTGATCATGATAAGAGGCTGAGGAAGGGGCAAGAGAGGGATTTTACTGTAAGTCTGGCAACAATGGAAATCCCATCCCGAGTTGTCCCCATTAGGTTAGGATTGGATAAAAGGTAAGATATATTTTATCTAATCTAGTGGCATCCCCAAACATCGGATATTGGCAGCCGGGTCTAACTTGTATCCCATCCCATGAATAGTTCGGGGGTCCAAACGTGCAGTTAGGAGATCTCGGATCTACCTTCTTCTTTCTTGTTTCTAGTTTCTTCATTAAGTACAAAACTAAGATTATTACCTTTTTCTCACTTGCAGTGATTCTTGTGTATTTCATTATTTCATCTTCTTCGGCACCGAGCTACTCATTCTGGTAAGCCCCTAATCGTTCTCTATGTTTTCTATGGATTTGTAAGGGTAAGTCCAGAGCTTCCCGCTAGAATAGCTACACGGCAGTTACGATGGGCATCCTTGTATCTAGACATATCTCAATCTCCCGGTCCCGAAATAACTGCTTGGAGATACATATCAAATCCCGGATATTTTGCTTAGCTCAATCTCCCGGTCCCGAACTAACTGCCTGGAGATACACATCGGATCCAGGATATCTTGCTTGGCATCTTGATTGGCGTACCGCGTGGATTCTGCATCGAAACATATAAATACCTCTTAAGGGCCATGCCAAAAGGTGATTGAAAAACCAAACCTAAACTCCTTGTTCCTTCGCTTAAAAGGTAGCCCCGATTATTGCTGACTTAAGCATCGAAGTGTCTACCCCGAGATCCATCTCGGGGCTTTGCAGGTCAATCCGGAGTGCAGATACGGACTAAAGAAGGGCTTCCGGTTTGATGCAGTTACAGGATTAGATTTTGTTTTGTTCTGTTCTTGGTTTTGATATATGTATTTTGCTCTGGTTTTGATTATCCTATGGGATTTGGGCTTGATTTTCTATCTTTCTTATCTACTTGTGTTAAACAAAGCAGTGTTAGGGAACATTTCTGCGTTCTTATGTAAGCTGGAGTTGTCTTTTCATTTTGGTAGTTTCTTGTTGGCTGGAAAATGATGGGTTATTGCTGGATTTGAATTTTGGCATTTTTAGCTTATTTTTTTGGTAAATTTGATGCTAGATGGTGCATGATAGCAACTCAAGTCACATGGTACCTGAATTTTCTATTCCTTACCCATAGAATGGTTTAATTCAACCAGTGAGTCGTTATGCGTTGGGTCCATATGTTTAATGATTCTCATGCTTCTCTGTGGACCCAATATATAAAACATCTGAACATGGGGATGAGACTGAGGAGATCCCTACAATCTAAAATCAGAGCGCCGAGAGGGTGAGAAGTGCTGGTAACCGGCAACCTTCAGAGCAGGTTTTTAAGAAAGAAAAATTTCAGATAAAACATTTCTTAGGCCTTCGCCACCGACTTAGCTGCTATCCAATGATTCTGCGACTTATGAAGCTAAATTTTTATTTTCTTTTAGCAATAATTTAGTGATTAAATGAGTACTCTATCATCAATTTATATATATTTTTTAATTTCTAAAGTTGAGTATTAACTATTAAGGACAAAAATTTTAATTTGAAAATTTAGCTTTAATTAATTTAAATTTTGAATCTTTTGAAATGTTATTCCAATGGATGAGCTTGCAGATTAAGAGTTGGTCCCCATGGCTGCTCGGGGGAGCTTTGAGGAGGATGAGAGAGAAAATGCAGGAAAAGAGGTGAAAGGGGAGAAGAGGAAGACGATGACGAATGGTGCTTTTGTCTTTTTTAAGTTGATAAAATTAACAAAAGAAAAAGGGTGATTGGTTGAAGTTGAAAGTGTATATTAAAAAACATTCTAACAGGTTGCAGTTCAGTTCCAACTGATTGCTGCTCTTTCATAAAATATATGACAGCAATGATACAAATATGTATTGACGTTTTGTTAAGGGAAGAACTCAGGGAGGACGGCAGCTGACGACCATGTTCAATTGTTGTGGACCCACCTATTGCTATCATAATTTTTTATCAAATTATTTGATTCAAAATACTCTGTTCAAAGGAATTTGAGGCTTCGGTTTAAAGATTCGATCTCAAGCTTTAAAACGTTTTTGTTTGTTGGTTAAAATTTCAAATTTTATTGATGTATTGAAAACTTTTTTTCCTCACCTTCAAGTTGTACAC